ACATATATTTTGATTCATTCAATTATTTCAAGGTTTATTTGGAACTTTTTTATTTGATTTTTGTAAATTTTTACTTTTTCTTACATAGTTTTTCAAAAATATATACATACACACACTTATATATTTATCTAATAACAATATTACTTTAGTTACCTATTTTTTTTTTCAGTAATTTTTCTTTCTTAACTATAAAAAAAAAAATTATTTATTTCCTGGTTTTTTTTTTTTTGTTTGAACCCGTTATTTAATTTAAATGGTATTAAGTGTTCAAAGAACAAAATATAATTGCTTAAATCTGCCATCTTAAAGATATTTATTATGCAATGATTTACAGAAAAAGGTACATCAGCTGGAATAGGACTAAAAAATTTTTGAAGTTCTGCGCGATTTAGTACACCGGAATATCTTTAATTTTGTAATTATATTGCATTGCCTGCAGAAATCACTTCTTGTGCATATCGTCAGCTTATGAGCTTTATTATAAAATCAAATCATCAGACAAAATTATTTCCTAAATAAACATTATAAACGAATTGGTGAAATTTCAGAGGTAATTGAAAAATTTCAGCTACTTATATTTTATAGAAGATTAAAACTATTTAGATTGAAATTCCTTAAATAAATTTTTTTTTGTTCTTGTTTTAGATCAGAAGCAAGATTTTACTTAATTAAAAGAAAAAAATTTTTTAAGAGTTTAAGAAAGTACCGTTATATTTTCTTTAATTATTACACAACAATACATATTTGAATTTGAATCTATATATATAGTGTTCCTACATCTACATACATTTATACAAACGTTCACGTAGTTTACGTAGTTTACTCAATCCACGGTGTATTTACCAAAATAAATTAATTTGCTTAATTAAAATTTATTATTAAAAAGTATAAAAATTTTTTTTTAATTTAATTGTAAAATATTTTAATTTAAGGAATTTGTAAGGAATTTTATGATTTAAGTCCATCAGTAGATAGGTACAATTTATATGAAAAGTTGGCATTTAAGAACTTTTAAACAATCTCCAAAGGATATTATAAATTTGCCACTCAATTTGTAATGCTATGAAATAGGTCACGAAATAGTCTGAGATGTAGACATAATAAGTATGTATGTTTTTGATCAGCATCAAATTTTAATAATTCTCAAGACTTAAGTTAACGAAATTTTTATAAATGATTTATTACATTAGAAAATTCCAGAATTCTATTTGAATTCGATTAAATCGAGATAGTAGCTCATACAGCTGCCACGTAATTACAAAAGCTATAGTTCAATATATAATTGAAACTACTAAAGCTGTAGTATTACAAACTCGTACAAGCAAATATATTATTAAGGATATTATGTTATGGCGGTAAACCCTACATATTCACGTTTTAAATTATTTTAGTTGTGAAAGTTTTTCTAATAAAATTTTTTAAATGAAATTAATTAAATTCAAAACCGGATTGTTAAATGGTGCATCTTCTTTTAAGACAATATTTTAGATTAAAATAATCTATGTAAGTAATTTTCTCATTGACATATAATTCTGCATAAATTTAGGGGCACCTAGTTAAATAATCATATTTGAAAAGAATATTTGAAAAGACTTAATACATGTACACCATAATAGTATAAAAATTGAGTTTTATTGTCAATTAATTTAGTTAAAGTAAAAGATCGTACTGCGTGTACTAAGCATATAAAAGCATATTTGAAAGTTATTTTGATTAAGACTTATTCTATTCTGACTTCTACCCCTGGCTGTTGAATGGAAGAATTAAACCTTTTTACCAGTTAAAGTATAAAGGAAGATAGTATTATAGTTGCTTTTACACTCAATTATTTTTTTACGAACTCCTTATTAATTTTCATTTCAATTATTGTTATTAAATCCATAATCTTACAAAACTATATTTAATTTTCTTTGATTTTACACAAAATTCACAAAATTAATAGAATACGATCAAATTACAAACAAACTATTAAATTTAAAATATATACATATATACACACTATAATTGTACTATAGCCTTTATATGACATTAAGCCATGTGTTACAATTACTCTGAAAATTTGTCAAACACTTGAAATCTACCTGATATATGTATCCATGCATGCAAAATTTTCCATATTTATCATTTAATCATAAAATATCCGAACGAAAAAAGGACGCCGCATAAGTTTAAGTAAAAATCAAAAAATTATTGATTTATTACAAATTTGTTATTCCTCTCATTTAAATTACAGATCAAAAAACTGTATACACAGTAGACTCATATTTATATGAACTAATAAATGTCATAGTGTGGTTCCGACATCTGAATTGTTCATATAATTCAAAAAGATTTTTGATTTTTAAGAAATAATTGAAATATAAATTTGGCCGATTTTCAATCATTTGGTTGCACTTGGCTTTTTTAGTTGATTGGGATGTTAACAATGAATTCTATGAGTTGGTTCTATAGCAGGATAGTCAATACAAATAATTTTATATTCCCATAACTGATCGTTCATATGTGAGTGCCTCTTTAATGTAACTACGAATTTGCTGTATTTATTGATTTATGTACATAAAAAACAAGAAAATTGTATAAATGAATTTTATATCAAGTGATTTTATTGTGTAACACTTATTATACAACGATCATCTTACATCTCTGTCTAACATTCTGAATTCCAATTATATACAAAAAAAATAAATTAATTCTTTCTTATATGTTCACTTTTTCCAATTCTAAATTTTTTGAATTTTTTATAATTTTTTTTAAAGCAATCCAAGAAAAAATTAACATTTATTCAAAAATCCAGTAAAAAAGAAGAAGAAAAAAATTTAATAAAAAATAAATAAATTCAATATTGAAAAATTTATGCAAGTTGAAAATTTTAAAATTCAATCAACGGAATGTACTCATATTTTATTTACAAAAACATGCATTACACCAACGCAAACGTATACATACGAGTACGTATGTATGTACATGTGTATGAAAAAAAAACAAGTGAATGGCCTGATAAATTTTTTCTTATAAGACAAAAATAAAGGGTCACCAAACTCGATGATGAAATTAACAAAATCAAATAATTATTTATTCGGATCAAGGAACGCAATATTCGGAAGTTGTTCGCTGTAAATAAAGATTTTCGTAATATAGGGAGTTTGTTATATTGAGATTCTATTGTATTAATATTTTAATGTTAGAATTATTTCTAATTGTATACATTTAAAAACCTCCTTCATCTTAACCTATTTTACCCCCAGAAGTAATAAAGTCACTTAATTACACGAAATTAAATCGAACAATTTCAGATTACTTAATTTAATTGATTACTAATTTAATCGATTCTATTCAGTGCAACCGGTAAATCTCTGCTATTATTAATACCCTGGGAAAGAAAGGGTTAAATTTAAAACAGTATGCCCTTTTTGTTCTTGGAAAATATAGTAAACGTTTTCTTTTTCTCTGACCTCAATTGATCTCATGACTTATAAAAATATGACGAGTTAAAAAAGCGAAGTATAAAATCTGGAAATAAAAAAATTCAAACAAATTTTTTTTTTCAAATTGAATGAAATTAAATTTATTATACTAAATTTAATATGACACTTGTTTATTTATAAAATATGAAATATTTAGAATAAATTATCCCCAAATGAATATTATTAATATATTCTAAAATGAATTTTAAAAATTCAATTTTATATTTGTATTTAAAATCGTTACTACTTGGAATAATATTGCAAAATGCACACACAAGAAATTGTTGATCTCTTGTAATACAATTCCAGCCAGAGGGTACAAGAAATAAGATTGCCACATTTGGTTCTAAAAACAGAAAAATAAACCTTTCCAAAATAAAGTAACAATTTGGTGATTACTTAGTTTTAGACGATTTTGGTAACGTTTACGACAAAACTAAAATAAATTGCATGGCTTCTTAACAAATTCTTGATTGCTATAAATTGTTATAATGCAGTTCACAGTACCGCTACTTTATTGTGATTTTCGGAGATAATTTATTTTAATTAAAATATTTTAAAGAAGATAGAAATAAAAGTTTTATAAAATATAAAAATATTTAAAATTTTTGGAAACTTTTATACCCCTCTATTATGAACATCGGTATCGGCCGATATATTATCGGCAGTTCTCATCGGTTTTGGGTTTCTTCTGTATTATGAACCGATACCGATAAAAATATTTCAACCGATTAAAAGAAGCTTTTTCATACAAATTTTTGTTTTTGTAAATTGGAGAAAATGTTTTTTTTTCTAATGACATTTGTTTTCTTTCAAAAGTTATTTTCAAAAAATTTTTAAAACTATTTTGAATTTGGTTTTGATGTGCTAAAAAGTTGTTGTAAGAAAATTATTTTCTGTTAAATTTGTAAAATAAAAGTATACATATATCGGGAAAATGTCACGTGCATTATATTTTGAAAGTGAAGAAACGCAAGTTATTCAAAGACGACATATAAGAGATTCAACTAATCCATTGGATTTAGACAACAAAATGTATGTTTATGTACCTATTTTATTTTATTATTTATATAATATGTACACATTTTTTAGGTTTATCCAGAATTTCAGATTATCATTCCTTGCCAGGTTTAAGTCCTCTTCCATTTTTTCTACTAACCGCGCAATTTGTTTTTTGTTGCTTACGATTTTACTCCTAAATAAAATATATGAATAACATTTTGAAAGAAAATAATTTAGAAAAAATGCTTACATTTTAAAAAAGCAATTAATTACACCAGTTTCCTTGATAAAATGAAGATTTTACAAAAAAAAAATCTGTCGTCTAAAAATTTGTACCCGCTTTTAAATCGGTGAAAACCCGACAATTTATCGTTTTCATAATACCAGCTAATACGTTTCCTATACAGGGAAAAAAAGCTTTCCCGACTCCGATAAAATTTACCGATAAACAATGTTGGTAATACAAACACAAAATTTTGCCGATAAATTATCGTTTATCGGCCGATACCGATATACATAATAGAGGGGATAATTAAATAAAATTATATTGTTGGATGACTAGTATAAATATTATGAAAGATTTCTTAACAAAAATCAATCAAATATTTTACATTCAATTCAAAAATAAAAATTTTCCAAAAGCTTTTGATATTTATAATTATATTATGTATGTATGTAATTAAGTAATAAATTTATGAGAATAAAATCAAAATTTTTTCTTTTAATCAAAAAGATTCCGATATTAATTAGTTGGACACATATTTGGCCAAACATCTCCCTTGATTTGCTCTCTTTTATATGTTGTTGGAATTTCACGTATCTTTACATTACGAATACAACCGTGATAATTTTGTGAAGATTTCCATCCTTTTGGTTTTTTAATAAATGGATGGCCGCCCATAAATAATGCTCGAGTTGTATCTGTTGATGCTTTATTAGCATCACCAATACCAGGATTAGAACTTATACCATCTACAGCTAATGTTATTACATATTGTGATTTAACAGCTGAAACGGTACGCCACTTTCCATCACAGAAATTAACTCCTGGCAATGGTTCAAATTTGGCTTCTATTTTATGTGTTTCATCATTTTGAACATTAAATATTATAGATCCATTATACAATTCTAAAATTAAATGAGAGCTTTTTCCATGAACTGAGAATAAAATACCATTTTGTGTTCTTGGTTTAAAGTCAAATTGTATTGTAAGCTCAGTACTAACACGGAAATGCTCTTGTAACTTAACAAAACCACCTTCAGCACCAAAGAATGTACCTCTTTCGTTATGTTCTGAACATGGTACCACATTGTGTAAGTGCGGTGGTTTATCAGTTGGTTGTTTGTTAAATAGTATATTTCTAATGCAACCAGTAAACAATGTTCCTTCTTCCAACAAAGTATTTGCATTAGTTCCTTCTTTATGGTTTGGATCTACTCCACCTACATAGAATGGATATTGAAGACTCATCGCTCTTCCTGCTTCAACTGCTTCATCATAGCGATCATTTGAATCAATTATTAATGTAGCTCTATTTAGCAATCTCGAAAATTCAACAACATGCCATATGTTATCGTTATAAACAGCCGTCGAATTTAGTATTTGCATTACTCTTCCAGCTCTAAATTTGTGATAAACTTGACCGTTATTTAAGTATAATGCAATGAAATCAGTATGACGACTGTCAGAAGCATAGAATAGTAAGCCATCTTTTTCTAATGTTCTAAATTCTAAACTGATTTCATGTTGCTTCTTAAATTTACCAGAAGCAATTGAATTAATTTCAACACGCCTGTCACGTACACTAATGAAACGATATCCAGCTTCAAATCCAACATCATAATCAGGATTAATTGGTAAAACGCAATCTGATTTTGAAGTTTCAGGCGCTGGTAATTTAGTGGGTGCCTCCAAAACAGATGGTATAGTAGGTGGAATTAGAACCTCAGGAACGGTTGGGCGCCTAGAAGTGGTTCTTCTTCTTGTAGGACGAGTTGCAATTGTTGGTGCTTCTGTTGTTGTTGTTGAAGTTGTAGTTGTGGTTGTTGTTGTTGACGTGCTAGTTGTTGTGTCTCTTTCAGTAGAAGTTGACTCAGTTTGCTTGTCAAACCAATCCGGCATAGGAGGCCATTGTTCTGCAAGATTTGGTTTTTTTGTTGTTCTGATTTCATGATGTGGTTTGGGGGTGTGATAGTGTAAGACTTCGTTAGCAGCAATATCTATGAAACCAGTACCAGAATCAGTTCCAACATAATAAATAGGTAGCGCAAGCACATCGTAATCTAAAAGAAAAGTAAATCTATGTAATCGACAATAATTTAAGTAAGAAACTTGTTTTTACATAACAGATCCGACGGGCAGTCTTCAAAACTACCTCCAACTTTGTCATTTGAATCAGCGAAATTAACAATTTGTCCGTTCAATGTCACATCATTAATGCAACCAATAAAATATGCCAAGTTTGAAAGCCTATCTCGTATAGGCTTGTAGTTATTCGGCAAACCACCGAAAAATATCTGGCCATGTTCAATCCATAATTCTGTCGGTGAAACTCTTGAGCTGAATCGTAAAAATATTTAGTATTTGACAATATTATTAGATTTTTGTTTATCACATACCTTACATCTTCCACTTCATCGACCTTTAGTCTTAAATGATCATCGTCATGTTTGGCAGTAACTATGTGCCACTCACCATCATCATATCTTTTGGCTTCAGTTTGAACTTCTTCTTTCATGCTTCTCAATATTAAATTTCCATCATCTATTGTTAGGCCTATAGTTGAGCTTTGGTCGTGATTTGTAGCGTAAAATATAATTCCATCTTTTTGTTTTGTTCTAAACCTCATGTTGATTTCGAAATCGTTATTTGAAGAAACATTTCCTTGTTTTAAGTAACCATGATGTTTTGGTCTATAAGATAAGGAGCTAGAAAATTTATGGGGACAACCTGTTCTAGCACCGAAAACGACTAGATGTCTACTTAAATCAGAATTATATCCCTCAATTAGAACTTTGTCTATGCAGCCATCGAAATTGTGTGTAGTTACTTCAGAATGATTAGTTGGACGATCAACTCCGCCGAAATACATTACATCTGAAATTATTAAATCTTCAGGAACACCTTGTTGAGCTTCTTTAACAAACACTGGTTTTCCGTCAATTTTAAGTAAACCTTTTTGACCTTCACGTTGAGCTTCTACTGTATGCCACCTATCGTCATTATACATCTGCTCATCATGTATTGAAAATAGGTGCTCACCAAGTTTGTATTGGAACAAAATACCACCGTTTCGCATTTCAACAGATATAAAATGACGCTTATGGCCAGCGTAGAATAGTAAACCTTCTTTTGTATCAGTTGAAGTCTTAAAGTCAAATTGAATACTTGACCGATGTTTAAATGAATATGATTTCGCATCTAACATGACGTAACCATTTCCATTAAATCTATATCCAGTTGATGGTTGTTCTTTAGTCAATAATACGTTTCTAGCAGCTCCTCGATTATTATCTTGGCCATCTATAAAGTTCCATAAACCCACCTCTTCGTCACCAATTTTAAGTTCCTCAATTGCACCTTCAAATGACCCTTGAGTAATTTGCGGTGGGGGTACAAAATCTGGAGGATAACCTCCAACAAATAGACGACTATTTTTGTCCACATTAAACTTATTGTTTTGTCCAGGCATTTTATGAGTAACATCATGAGTTTTTTCTTCCCCACCTGAAAATGTTAAACATTTTACAAATTTTTAAATACGTTAATTAATTCAAATCTATCATTTTACCTGGAAGTGCTTCTCTTATACTAAGTTTAACGTTTTCTCCATTGCGATCGACGATTACCTGATACCATTTATTGTCCGCTACATATTTATCACTAATCACTTTTTCAGGTCCATCACCTAAATCTATGTATAAAACTGGAACACCATTTTCTATTTCTAAGGCCATATAATCTGGGTTTTTCTGATAATAAGGTCCGGTTTTATTATCATTTCCAAGATACATCAAAAATCCTTTTGGTTTATCAGTTTTGAAGTAAGCTGATACCCTAGACGACTGAGCTAAAAGTGGCAAGGCTTCTGGCGGTTTTAATTCCAAGTTTGTTGCCGGGCCGAAAGCTACACCAATTTTAATTTCATTAGCTATTTGTCGCGTTGTTTCAATTTGTCGTTTTAAATTTTCTAGCTGTTCCATAAGATCTTTACCCATTTCGTCAATCTTTTTCTGTTCTTCGTCTAAATGATCAATTTTCGTTTTAATCAATGGTATAGCGTCCATGACTTTATCTACCTGCTTAGTTGTATGCTCGATTTCTTGATTAGTTCTATCTACATGATCTGACATGTTTCTAGCAATGGCTAAACTTTTTGGAATTTCATCTTTTAAAGGCTTTAATATTGCTAGAGCATCGTCAGCATTATCATTTGACCTCTCAGCAGATGCAATTACCATTTCAATTGATTCCGTTTGTGAGCCTTTTGGGAGAGATTGTAATTCTCTAAAAATTTCAAATAATAATGTTTTGTAATCAATTGTATCAACTACAAGTTTAAACTTACGTATATAAACGAGACAATTCCTTTTCAGAATCTTCATGTTTTTTAGTAATATCATCAACATTCTGCGATGAATTATCTAAATGAGGTTGCAAGTCAGTTTGTACGGTACTTAAAGAATTTCTTGCTTTTCCCAACAATTCTCTTGCGAGATTATCGGACTTTTCAGCGCGTTCTTTGATGTCGCTTCCCTAGATCATTGAGTTTTAAATAAAAAATATATATATAAAAAAATTCATGATACTACCTTTTCGGTTACATTTCCAGCTGCATGCTTAGCATCTTTAACAGCATTTTGGGCTGCTGCTACAGCGTTAACGATATCTGAGTAAGCGGTAGCTGCTTTAATAGCTGGCTCTTTATCTGATGTACTGTCAGCGTATTCATCGCGTAAATTATTAGCTTGTGTTTCAAGTTCAACAGCTCTCATATTCGCTTCTTCCACACGGTCCTTAAGTTGAATTGTTTTAGATTCGGCTTCTGGCAATAAATCATCTACTTTCACATTGACATTTTTCAAACGCAACAATGTTTCTTGCAGTCCTTGAATATTTTTTCCAATTGTTTCTAACGTCAAATCGCAGTTTGTAAGTAGGTTTTTGGTCTCTTTCATGTTTTTAGAGATTTCTTTATCTTGATTTTCAACGGTATCGAATTTTGAATCATCAAAAGTAATTTTATTCTGCCGGTTCATTTCAGCAGCTTGATTAGCCTTTTCAATAGCATCGTTACTCCACTTATGTAAGTCGGCCAATTTTTCTTTAAACTCTCCTGTACCTTTCTTTAACTGGGCAACCGCATCGGCTTGATCCTTTACTGGTGCCATGATTTCTTCTTCGATAGATTTATGAAGAGAATTGGCTTTGTCCAATTGATCATTCGCTGGCTTCAAATCAAATTTCGTTTCATTTAAATGATTTAAGATTTCTTTAGCTTTATCAATAGCTCTATCGGCCTTAACAGCGCCTATTGACGTATCGAAGCTGTCAGAAAGTGATTTTACTTCTTCAATAACATCATGGGCAATTGTAACAACAGATTTACTTTCTTCCAAAGAATTTTTAACTTCTGCAATAAGCTTTTCGTTGTTTATAGAACTATCTTTAGCATTTTGATCTAATTTTTTTAGACTTTTACTATACTGCTTAGCTTCAATTTCTAAAACATCCATTTCTTCAATAAACGGGGTTAAAACAACCTTCTTTGGATCTAGCTTTTGTACTTTAGGAACAAGTTCCTCAGTAAGATCATTATAGTATTTTAATTTTTGATCAGTAAAGTATGCCAGTTGCACTGATTTGAAATCACCTACTACTGGATCAATCTGATCGCGCAAAGCATCAGTTACATCTAAAAGGGCATGATGACATTTGTCACACTCGAAGCAACCCTCGTCTTTTATGAGTACCCATCGATAAGGGCAAGAATCACAATTTTTACCAATCACACCTGGCAAACATTCACATTGGCCAGTCATAGTGTTACAGCCGAAGCCTCGTGAAAAACCCTTGTTGCAAAGACAGGCTAAATTTAAACATATTTCAATTAGGAATAATAAATTAATTTCAGAGAGAATTAACTAACCAGTACAACCGTCCTCATTATAATTCCAGTAATCTCTGGCACAGTGATCACATTGACGGCCTGAAACACCTGGCTTGCATGGACAAGCCCCAGTATGATCGTCACATTGTGTGCTATTTGAAGCGATTCCGCAATCACAAGGTTTACAACCAAATCCTGATTCAAAACCGTAATGATCTGGCTCACATCGGTCGCACCGTTCTCCAATAACATTTTCATGACAGTTGCAAGTACCAACAAACGGATCACACTGTGATGTACCTTCCACAACACAGTCACAACTTTTACAATCTTTTAATTTTATAGCATCACCGTAAAATCCAGGTGCACATAAATTGCATGCAGGTCCAAAAGTATTGTTAAGACAATTTTTACATTCGCCGGTGACAGTGTCACATGAGCCAGGCTCATCTAAATTTATATTTCCTGAACATTGGCATGGTTTACAATAATCTCCGACGTTTTCTGGAACTCCATAATATCCCGGTGCGCAACTTTCACATTTCGGTCCAGTGTATCCCGGCTTACATTGACAATTCACACCAAATCCACTAGGATTGAATTCACAACTGGTTGCGAAACTGTTACACAGTTAAAAAAATCATTTAATCGAAAGGTTTTCTTTTTATAAAATAAAATGAAATTACTTATTTGAGTCTATAGGTAAGGGACAAGGACAAATCATACAATCATGAGGTGTGCCATATGTAGCGTTACCGTGATATCCCTCAATACAAAATTCGCAATGGTCACCAGTTGTAGAATGTTGACAATCCTAAAAAATAAAATTCGCAAACTTTATAAATCCACATATACAATTAAAATTATAAAAATATAATCATACCTTGCATATACCAGTATTACAATCACAGCTATCAGCATGACCATTACATTGACATGGAGCACAATAACCGCCATATAAACCTTCTTTAACACGATAAAACCCAGGTGCACAATCTTCACAGGATAAACCTGTATACCCAAGGGGGCAATAGCATTCTTCAACAGGCATAAGTTTTAATATTCCATGTGGAACATGTTCATCAGTTTGTTGAGTTCTAACAAAACCCATTGTAAGAGCAACATCACTTAGCCTGGACAAAACAGTTTCTTCCCAATAATTTGCTCTAATGTAAATTCCTTCTAAATCTCGAAGAGCTAACATTAAATCCGCTCTACTAACTGGTTCATCATTTTCTGTTGCAAAATTACTTTCGACTATTTTAACGGATCCATTAAAACGATTGGAGCTTGAGGGTTGCTCGTCGCTTTGATGTTTCAAAGTAATATTTCTGCCTTTCAAGATAAGGTCTGGAGCGACCAACGACTTACCGAATGGTCCAGTAGTGTAATATAAATTATATGTCAATTCACCACCGTAAGCTGTTATATGGCTATTAAGATTGAATAAATGAGCTAACACGCTAAAGTAAACGAAACCGTCTGGGGGGTCTTTAAATGTAAAGTCTGCTTCTAATAAAGTATCATTCTTCAATATTTGCTCTTTATCCATGAGCCATGGAGAAAATTCAATTTTTTTTCCGTCAAAATATACATTATTTATTGCAACTTTGTCAATCAAACTAATTTTGAATTCTTCCAAATAAGCAGATTTGCAACGTTGACTTTTTCCGAAACAGAAACATTGCGTGCAACCGACAGCATTGTCCCTTTGTAAATTATATGTACCATCCACACAATGATCACATTTCTCTCCGACAACATTCTTTTTGCAATAGCATTCTCCATGATCTTTATCGCATATTTCCAATTCTGTACCATCATGATTGCAATTACATCTATGACAATTTGGAAATCCATAATAGCCATTGGAACATTGATCACAAGCTCGACCTTCTATATTTGGGCGACATTGACATGATCCGTTGAATAAATCACATTGCATATTCCCATGTAAAACACCTAACGGATGGCAATTGCATTCTTCGCAACCAATTATTTGATGAAAGCCATATGTATATGGTTTACATTGATCACATTTCTCTCCAGTTACATGAGTTGGACAAATACATTCACCTGTACTTTTTTCACATAAAGCTGTAATCGGACAATCACAAGGTTTACAGTCAGGAAAACCATAAAAACCAGTACGGCAAGCGTCGCAATGCCTTCCAATAATGTTCGGGCGACACTGACACTGTCCACCGTAAGGATCACATTCAAAACTTGTTGAACCATCGTAGTTACAGTTACATGGTAAAGCTCCATGGTTATAGTCAGCTGTCAATGAAAATACTGCCTTACGACAGAACTCTGACGCATTTAATGGTATATAATAGTGATCTTGGCCACATTTACTAATAAACTCTTTCGTTTGATCGAATGGTTCCTCAACCAGTAAATCATCTGTATATCGACCAATTGGAACAACGATTATATAGTCTAACCAAACGCCTTTATTTTTGTTATTCTAAAATTTATAAAAATATGTTTTTGATTTCTTTCAATAATATTTTTGCGTTTTACCGTCAATGTAAGAGTAAATTCATCGTCAATATCAAACCAAGTATTATCTCCTGTTACAACAGTACTTTCGGGCCTAATTATTCCGCGGCAACCAGAGCTTGATGGGCAATGATTAACTTCAAACTTACCATCGTATAGTATTTTTTCAGTATTCAACCGGAAAGGAACATTATACCGTGGATGATTTGGTTGATAATACTTAAGCAAAATTATGTATCTGCCTGGTTCAGTAACTTTTGATCTGAAAGAATTTCACAAATACATTCGAACAAATTATGAAATTTACTTTTAGTTCTGGCGTTTATAAAATTACCCAATCATTATTGAGGCATTATTTCTATCCAAATAAATTAGTTTTATATTTTCATCTTTGACAGCGTACGGTGGTTTATAAGGTGTTATTCTTTCTTCATGATCAGCTTCAAATTCAATCTTAATTTGTTAAAATTTAGGGTATTAAAATCTTTAAATTAGTTTATTAGATAATTCGTAAAAAGATGTACCTTTTTAGCATCTGGAATTGCTGGATATTTAGACGGAGCACAATCTTTATCATGAATCACACAGACGTTATTAGGTTCAATAAAGTCAACCGACCAATCTTCAACTGGAATTGCTGTTATTTGTAAAACGCCCACTTTACCAAAATCTTCATGGCCATGCTGTAAATTTATTTATATATTTTGCTTTTCAAAATTTAAGTTTTGTTAAAAATTTTTACATATAGTTCAACTGGTTTTGAGTCCAATACATCAATGAAAAATAATTTTTCTCTGGATTCTTCATCAAGCACTGGTTGACGACAACCCATAGTATATAAGCACGTGTACAATGTGGCAGTGCCATAATCTTGGTTATCTTCACCTACACGAACTTTAATATAATTAGTTTGTGGTATTTCTTTACTAGTTACATAATCAATAACAATAACATATCGTCCAGTATGTGGCACATCTAGATTATATTTTAATGAATTTTGAACCTCGGTCAATGCCGGTACAACACCCTTATGGTCAATTATTATCATATGTTCACTATCGGTAAAAATTTCCTCTGCTTCAATAGGGTCCGTAACAGGTTTGAATTCATCAACTGATACATATTTATAATGGCGACATAAGTCCATATTACCAATTTCACATGGGTTTTGAATATTTCGAGTTAATATTGAAGCCTCATAATAAGCAGCCGGTAGTAAAACAAAATAATCCTTAAAAATATACAGTAGTTTATATAATTAATATAAAATATTTAATTATAATTAAGTCTTAAATATAATTAGGACAATGACTCTTACCAACATTATATTTTTAACTGATTCTGTAGTAATGGTGTACCGGCCTGGGTCTAGAACAATTGGAGATGGTTTATCCCCTTTAGATCCAGAAACTGTTACGAATTTTGGCTCCATTGTAGGCTTTAACAGAACTTTGGCGCTAAAAGTGAAATGAGAATGACATTAATTGAAATAGATGAAGTAGAGTGATTGATATATTTATTAAAAAAATGGATTAATTTAGAATAAATTTATTTACTTTTGATCGACTTCTGAGGGATTATCAGATTGTATTAAAATAGATGCTACAACATCTTCATCAGTCGGATTTACATATCTTATAACCATTCTATATACGGATGATTTGAACACATTAATCTCATTAAGGGCTTTGTTTTGTATGCCTGAAAACACAGCATAACCTTTACCACTAAAGTCGGGAAATTGTTCATTGTCATATTGGTAACGAACATGAGCGCCTGAAGGTGTGTATCCATCTTCATACTCAAACTGAAATTGGTATAATGTTGGAAAATAATGTGTGGTAAGCGGTTGAGTGCATGTTCTTCCAGTTATTCTTGGGTGGCAGTTACAATTTCCACTTTGTTTGTCACAATTTAAATTTCTTGAGCCACCAATATCGCAATCACAATCCTTGCATCCAAACAAACTGCCACCATTTAAATCGAATGAACCATCTTTACACTCGCTACAGTCACGACTTGTAACTGATGGTTTACAAGTACATTGACCAGATTTAGAGTCACATGTATCTAGTGCACCAACAGTACCATCCAAAAAGCATTCACATTCTTCACATCCATCTGGATTACTAATGTTTAAATTCCAATACAAAGGTTTACATTTGTTACAAATTCTTCCGCTAACACGTTCTTTACATTTGCATAATTCACCAGCTGGCACAGAACCGCAACCAGCGAACTTCTGTATGACACCAGCTGGATCACAATTACATTCCTCACATGCTGGGAAGTTATAATATCCTTCTTTACACACATCACAAATTTTACCATCAAAATTTGAAAGACAACTGCACTGCCCATCATCATTACAGGAAATGCCTTCAGCACCATGAGTATTACAGTTACATGCTAAAAATATTAATGATTAATATTTTTTTGATTAATATATCTAATTGGGTAAATTTTGAAGTCGTTACCTAAACACTCTGGATAATTATAATAACCGACTTGGCAGACAGTACACTGTTTTCCAGCAAAATTTGCCAAACATGTACATTTACCAGTTGCGTCACATATTTTTGATCGACTTCCAACAGTAGAACATTCACAAGGGACACAATTTGGATAATTATAGTATCCAGGAAGACATTGGTCACATCTTGGACCTCCGAATCCTTCACGACACAAACACTTCCCATTATCTTTATCACAAATTTCAAACTCTGTTCCACTAACATCACAATCACAATCTAAAAATATTAACCAATAGCATATTGTTTTTTATACCTTAATATTATGTAGAACTTACAGAGGCAATTTGGGAAGGAATAATAACCATCTTTACATGATTCGCAATTATGTCCACCAAAATTGGGTTTACATTGACATTGACCATTTTCAAAATCACAGTTATTGCTCAAGGCGCCTATATCACTACATTCGCAAACTTTACATTCCGGATAAGAATAATATCCTTCTGCGCATTCTTTACAATATTTTCCAGCAAAATTTTCTTTACATGGGCAATATCCTTCGGTTGCCTCACAATAATATTCCCGTGTACCATTTAAATTACATTCACATTCTCTACAATTAGGGTATCCAAAATATCCATATGCGCATGAATCGCAATTGGGTGGTTGATACGCTGGTTTGCATTCGCAACGTCCGGTCTCTTCTTCACAATTACCAGTCGAAGAAAAGTGATCGCAATTACAAGCTAAAATTAAAATTATAAAATATAAGAGCTTCTTTGTAACATTAGTTATTAACTTACGTTTACAAACATCTGTTTCATTCCAATGTTTTCCATAAGGTCTATAGTATTTAGGAATACATTCATTACAATTGATACCTTTTGTATTATCTTGACAATTTTGACAAACTCCCCCACCTTCGTAATTTCCATGAATATCTAATGATAGTCGTTGCAAGTCAGTTTCTTCATCATAAATACATTCAGTTGAATGACCATGACAATTGCAAGCTATAATAAAGAATGTAAATAAACTCAACTGAATAGTTTTTTGTAAAACTTCAAATAATTACGTTCACATCTGAATGGTCGAGCATTCGTATTTTGACTCCATTTCTTTTGTTCGAAACCGGGACAACATTCATTACATTGTATACCACAAGTATCATGTTGGCATCTACATGCTAATATTCTAACTGGACTTCTGGGATCTAAAACATCACAAGTATCAGCATGACCGTTACACATACAACGACCACCAATTGATATATCTTTTATAGAATAAAAATAACGACGTGTTACAGTTGGATCTTGTCGAGCAACAGACATTAAATGGCCGAGTAAATTTTTAGTCCTTAATAAACGTATACGTACATTTGTTGCTCGTGTCCATTCTTGAAGTGCCGTTGAATTGAAATAATTATTTGCTGATGGACGATCTTTTAACAAATTAACTGGTATCTAAAAAATATATCGGTAAATAATCACTATAATGACATATAAAAAAAATTTATTTTTTTTTTTGAGATTCTTACTTCTCCATTTTCAAGTGGTACAATTTTTGAATAATCTGTTGTACAAATAACGTCATTATCATTTTCTATTGATTTGTATGTGTTATTTCCAAAATATGAGTCACAATCTGTATGAGTATCAGAAAAGTACATCCATGAATGCCATGTTTTGCCATAATCACTTGATTTTTCTAGAGTCCAAACACCGGGTCTTGGAGAATTTCCCATTCGAATAAAAACATAAGCTACATGAAATTCCTAAAACATATAAAAAAAATGTATTCCGAATAAAATTCTAAAAAATTCGAATATTTACAATTGAATTATTTCAAAAATCTAGAAAGATAAATTATGTTGAACGCCATTACCAAAACTTTTGAAATTAGAATAAACAGGCTTTTGCGTTTTATTACTTTAATTCTATGAGAAACGATTTTAACTTTCAAAAAATTTCAAAAAGGATTACTAGAGCAAAAAAAATCTAAAAAAATTTCGGATCCAAAAAAAATCAAATTTTTCAAAATGTACAACGCTAAGTAAAGAATGTGTGTAAATCAAAATGTTAATTAATAAACGCTCTTAAAAACGAAAGTCCCACTTTTCTTTGAACGCAGATTTAAGCAAGAAATGTATGGAGTAGATTTTATCCTAAATTTTCTAAAAACTCTTGTATCTGAGAACCCATTGAATTTTTTCTAAAACGAAATTTTATCAATTTTAATATAAATGCAAATGGTTTACCCTTTCTTTTACGCATAAGTTATAGCATAGAACAGAGTTATTTCTGCAAATCTAAGAGCAAATGTCTAAGTCTGGCAATAATAATGAAACATACATGATATAATTTTTAAATAAATATAAAAATTATTAAAAGTAAAATGAACTAAAATTTGATATATTTTTAGGTCGATGGAAGTGAATAAGCAAATCAACTCAAATTATTATCAATTTCTTATGTTTCCGGTCACTGAAAAAAGTTGAAATAAGTTATCGACTTCATAATTTTACTTGGAATATGTAATTAACACATCTACATGGCTATGCACTGAATTAATATTTTAAAAAGAATTTTCATTTTTTGAATTGTAATAAGTATTAAAATAGTAAAATAATTTTATATAAGAGATTAGAGTTAAAATGGTTTCATTTTAAAATTAGCAGAGCAGTTTCATTAAATGAGCATTTGTTAATTACCGAACATAATAAAGATTCTTCTAGTTTTTATATATGTTCATCATTCTTATCTTTTATTAAAAATTTAAGAAATAGAATAAAAATTAAAAAAAATAGAGTAGACCATGTCAACTCTATTGTCATGTATTTGCTTGCGTGAAATTTCATTATCACAGCTGTTATAGTTTCTGCTGTTAGATATAGCCAAATAACTTTTTAAGTTGTATGGCAGTTACTAGAAGGAACCAAGCAATTTCAACCAGTTTTATCAAACATATTGGCCCTACTACGCCAACGATTGATGGACGGACAGGCAAATCTAAATCGATTCAGAATTCGACACTAATCAAAAACGTACACTTAAGTCTATATCTCAGACCGTTATTTCTTAGCGTTACAAATGGTAAAATTTAGTATACGATTTAGTATATAATGATTTCCTAAACGGTTGTCATATAAATAAATATATTTTTAAATGTATGTTTAAATGCCTACATTCAACAGCTTTAAATATTTTATGGATATTTATTTATCAGACATAATTTTTCCATTCTAAGTCTTTATACGTCTACAAAGTCACTCCAAGATATCTAAATTTAACTCTCCCATGAATTTATTTTGTTCCGCAAAGCAAATTTAATTGATAAATAAAATAAATAACAGGTATGGAGGCTTATTTTTAGAAACCACACTGTTTTCAATCTGTTAATTTAAGCATTTAATTATTTTCATAATTAAAAACAAATACGCAATCTATTTTATTCGAAAGCAGCTAAAATGATTAAATTGACATTAGATTTACATTTTGTTAGAGGTCTTTACATAAATTATGAGAGTCCACTTGCTTTCACAATATAGCAACAATTTAATTTTTTTTAAGACGATATTCTTTATATTTTATAAAATTAAAGTTGTATTGCTGAATTACTCTAATTGAATTTAGTGTGCCAAATATCGTGTCTTTGCCCGATATATTGTTGTTTATTAATAGAAAATTTTGTATTGTATACATAAAATTACTCGGATATGACTTCACTCTAACTTCACAAAATTAACACTACCTATACTAAGCAATTAATTACACAATTCAGCTTATAAACTCTAATTGTTGAATTTTTGCTTACATAACAATATTAACATAAAAATTCCAAATGCTGAATTATATAGCAATATTATGGTATTATTGCAATTTTGAAACCATAGTAACTTTCACATAACATCTGTCCGAAATTCAAGCCTTATACTTATATTATTTTATTTTTCAATTAAGAATTAAAATAATTTTTATTAATTACTATTTTAAATGTGGCAATTAATTATTTTAAATATTACCAATAAATAAAATATAAATAGTAAATATATAAAACCAAATTTTAAATTAAACTAATCTTGTAAAAAATTAAAAATAAATTATAAAAATTAATTATTGTATATAATTCGTGGCTCTATAATATTCTATAATCTATAATTCCACAATAATTTTAATTTTTAATAATAATTAACATTATTTCCTTGCATTCCATATTCATTAACACTTAAAAATTACTTTAAGTTATGACTACATAATTTTTATTTTTTTAAATAAACCATAGTCAATTTAATGCAATGCCAAATTACATACATAAGCAGATATACATTATTTAAATCTTACTTAATTGCAACCATTCTGTACAAACAATATTATAATTGAGTGTTTGCTTTTATTAAATATTTGAATTTCAGTTCATAATCCATTATTTATGTGAAATAATTCAGAACTCTTGTTGCATATTAATTATTTTCAAAGTTCCAAACCAATGAATATATTTTATATTATATCCCAAGTCTATATTCCTCACTGACTGTCGTTCCAAAAACAATTAAAAATTCATATTCCTAAAATATTGGTGATTTATTTAGTAATCATAACAAAAGTGTCGGCCTCGCGGGGCTGCTCTAGGCGGGACAATGAACGCTCGTGGTAGGGAGCACAACAGATCTTTTAGGTCGCGTTGCGTTATAATCTTTAATAATCATAATGCCAAAAATTATGTAATGCTAAAGTATTAGAGCCTAAAGATATGAAATAAAACATTGAGTTTTCGATCACTAAACAATTTTTTCTAAAATTAAATTCGAATTATAAATTTATTAGTCCTGAAGTAGTACCTACTAAAATGCCATAATTATAAAAAAATATAACCTTCTAATTATAGTAATCCTATAGTAAGACAACACTGTCAAATATAAACAATAATACTAGATGGAGGTACTAATTAATTTTTACAATGAATTTTGAACAAGAAACAATTAGAAAACATAAAAAATTGTAGGCGTTTTATTTTTATTTTTTTATATTTAAAGTTTTTATTAAAAATTAAGACAATGTGTTGTGTTAAATGGAAAGTACATTTGAATAGCGCTTATATGCAATTAAGAAAATAAATTATTTAATTAAATTTTTCAATGTATTTTGTAAACTGCAACTTTAATTCAGAATGACTCAGAATTTTAATGAGTTCATTCTTTTCGAAATCAAACTTATACTTTACAAATTTAATTTTCTACGTCCTTAGTATCTAGCATATTGAATAAATTCTATATCAGCTGAATATCGATTAGGAGCTGTTCACTGTCAATATCTTACATAACAATGGCAGTTTAGTAACAAAATAAATTCCCGCACAATTATGTCTAAATCCTATAGGCGCTTATGACAGAATGATTATGATATGACGCGCAACTATTTTCATTAAAAGTATATACTTGAAATCATTGAATCGTAAAGGAATCATAGGACACATGCATATTCAACACAACCCATTAATATTTTACTATGTACACGTAAAAAAATGTGTTGCAAATAGTGGAAGGAGAATTAAAAGTCAATCAAAAAGTGGCTGCAGTAATAGTAGTAGTAGTAGTAGTAGTAGTAATAGAAGAGGCCCCCTTAGCAAACCACGCGAAGGGCATGCACTATGCCAACAAGAAGATCAATCGGTAACCCTCAATTTAACATCCCACAATCCCCGCATATAATATAACCCCCAAAAAAAAAACCATCTACCTAAACCAACCAATCTTCTTGGCGGTTGCAGTAATAACTGAAATGCTAGAATTGACTAGATACACGTAATTCTTCTTGAATAGTTTTAATCTTATAACTGTTTCTTTCTTAGTTTCGAACCATTGGCTCTATTCCCTACTGACTTATATTGAACTATTTCGGTGATTATAGTTTCAAACTATAATTTTTTACTTTATTGTTAAATTAAACTTAACAAAAATATGTTCTTCTAAATGATTTTAGTTACATAATTACGTAAAAATAATTAGTACAATTAAAAAGTTTATAATCATTTCTAATTGGCTAGCAATTACAAAAAAAATTATTCTTTGTTCATAAAGAATTTATCATTCCGGCACAAAATCCATGAATGAAAGCCATTTGCTTCATCACATATAAGGTACAGGTATATATACAGGTTCATAATATTGTGTATATAGCCTTTGTTAAATGGTACACAAAATACAAGATTTTAATCTTTTGTCATCACAATGCGAAATCTTTCTATACAGTAGGTTACCTACATTTATTTGTGTTGCTTGTTCACTTTCTTGAACAATATTTATTCTTTGATTTTGACCTATTCTTTATGTTGCGTTAAGTATCTTTATATATTTAAGTATCGATAAACATTTTACCAACACATTTACAAACTACTTAATTATTTTCAATAAAACATTGGTGACAAAGATTTTCTAACTACTGGTCATAATTCACTTATTTGAAACTAATAAATTTAAAGATTTATTTAAGATTTAAGGTGTTGTATACATAAAAGGAGACATTAATAGGCAGCACATTGAAAAAAGAAAAACTTAACAGGAGCCGATGTTTTCATACCAGATCAAAATAACATTAATACTTAATAGAAAGGTCTTCAAATAATTGTCTCACTTTTTTGTGAAATTTTGATTGATAATTGCAAAATTTAGTCAAACATGTCTTGGAAGATGAGAAGAACATTTATTCCAAAATTTTCACATTCTTAAAGTAAGAAACTCAATTAAAAAATTTGGAAAGTTTAGAGAACAAAAAATCTAACAAGGATACCTGAGTTTGGCGTAGAATAACACCAAAAAGAAATTTATAATGGCAAGTTACCGTCCCATTGGTTTGTAAATTCATACGAAAAATAGAATTTGCCGCATTCTAATAATATGAAACGGATCTACAGGAAGGAAGTGTTTGAACAAACAAATACGAAATAACAAATTCAATCGGTCCTTGTTGCATAATGGAATGGTCCGATTACAATTTTATCCTTTGATCAATTTATTTTTGAGCACGCTTAAACACACATACAAACGTATCTATCTATTTTTATAACTGCAACAGGTACCAAATACTTTTATAATGTAAACCAGAAATTTTTGAGGTTGCCATAATACAAACAAACATAATCTTGCATTCACCACATACAGTTTATTCATTATAATACAAATAATATTTTCAAAGTTCTTAATAGCACATTTTTCATTATTTTTGGTGAAGATTTTTTGTTGAAAAATCAAGATATAATATCTACATATGCTACATATGCATATTATATAGATATTTTTTTTGGAAGAAAAATATAAGAATCTTATTTGAGAGAGAAATTAAAAAATTATTTTATGGTTTGTTTATGTCAATTATAGGGTATTAAAACAGTTATGACCACCATAATAATTTAGTTATTAAACAATAAAGAATAAGGAATTAGTGCGTAGTTAGAATATTTTTTTAAATCCACTTTTCGGCTGAAATAGAAAAAGAACTGTAGCCCTGATATAAGTAAAAAATTCTTTTGGCTCAAGAATACTCCTTGTACCGACTGTGAACTGGCTAAAAATTGTTTATAATAAAACCACTTTTCTCTTAATGAATTTTTCATATCAAGGCAATAAAATGCTTGCAACCACCAATAAAATGCTTGCAACTACTTCACCATACAAAATAAATCAACGAATTCTTGACCATTTTTCCTGTACTGCATTGCTTATGTTATCTTTAATAGTTTTTAACAAAGATATAATCTTGTGTGTAAGAGCATGTAACTTAAACCATACATCCGCATATCCTAACAGATTTGTACTTGAACAATTCTAATTAATTGTGATTATTTTTGCAACCTTCACTTTCATAACGTTGCAAAAACGTGTAAATTTTCATTGAATTAAATTTCTTTATAACACTTGAATAAATAAAATTAGCCCTCCTCTTCCCTTCCCATTCTATAACCACTGAAATTCCACATTAGAGTACAATATTAAGATATCAATAGTACTTTCTGATTACAATTGTACTAATACAATAGCACTAATTCAAACAAATTTGTACATTACAAACAAAATTCCTATTCTACAATACGCAACAATAGCACTGTTTAAATTCCCAATCGCATACATAAGTACATACATACATATTTTATTTTTAAATATGTTTAAAAGTACAAACATATAGTTAGGCAAAACATGATACTGTAACATTCCAGATTGAATGGAAAATAAAATTAAAAATAAAACACAAAAACATAACGACTATTGTTTGGAGTTTATGTTTAGTATGAATGAAATTTTAAAAAAATGCATGTGTTCGAAAAAAAAAACAAAAAAAAAAAGAACAATTTCTTATGAACCCAAAAAAAAACACCATAAAGAAAAAGATCATTAAGAATAAACACTTGTCTACATGGGCAACGTTGTGTACGTACAGGATGTTTCATTCAAAAGTCATCGTTTAAAATCAAGAATGGTCTATATAGGTGGAATTTTATTTCGTTGGAACAAAAATTTGTTGGAAAAATTGGAAATACAAAATTATTTCGCTGTATAAATACCTAGAAACCTTAATCCTTGTAACCTTATTATCAAAATTATTAACCACCGAGAATAAATTGACAAACTCATAATTATTAACTGTCATGACAGCTATGCAAATTTTCTATTACACGCAAGATGCAAATGATTTCAAAAATTCAGATTGGGCAATTTTTAAATTCAACTGAAGTAAAAGAATTAAAATTTATAAAATTTTTACAATTATCACAAAACCTTACTGTAGAACAGCTTTTAAAATTAATTTCTAGTTATTTATGGCAATTACTTTTTTAAATCGACCTACAAGAATTTTTGTTGTAGTTTCCAAATATGCTTACATCATAGCATCAATCATTTATGAGAATAATTTAAGAAAAGAAACATATGCAGAACTGAATTCCAAACTGGATTACTGAACCAAATTTACAAAGAATTACTATAAATACAATGTATAAAAAATTGGTATACGGTTTTAATTGTTTGACATCGGAATGCATGAAAATTAAATAGTTTGTTAAATTTATCAAATAGTTTGGAGTACTATATAACACCCAATAAAACTATATATGAATGGAGTGCTATATAGATATAAAATTTAATATTGAAAATACGACTTTATCCCATATGAGCGTATAATGTTCTCTTGTCAACTATACTTCTTTACATACGGGTGGTGTAGTAGGAGGTGACGGCCGGGATATGAGAGTTGTTTATACTAAAAGTGTTATACATACAGAGTGTTCTCATTAATGAAATACAAGAACAATGTGGCGCTTTCTTATGTCTTCCAACTAAATTACAAATTTCCCAAGAAACATTTATTAAAGTGGGACACCTTGTTTTCAGAAATAAAATTTTTTTTTTCGTTTTTATATTCATTCGTATATTATTTACATTATATCATATATAATATAAAATACACAAAATTCATATCACATATCGCGTATATGTGCATGCATATGTGAAAATTGTAAACTAATGGTATAGATTTGTTATTTATAAAAGGAAGCACATGTGCTTTTATGCTGATCATGTGAATATAAATACAATATTTGACTTCATTTCGGTTTCAAATGAAATTGAAAGAAAAAAAAATTTTTTTTTTGAGTTTTGGAGTTGTGTGTTTTTTTTTTATGGCCGTACGAACGTATGTTCGAATAGTATACTAAATTTGCCTTACCGTTTGTAACGCTAAGAAATAATGGTCTGAGATATAGACTCAGGTATATGTTTTTGATCAGCATCGAATTCTGAGTCGATTTATCTTTGTCTGTCCGTTTGTCTGTTCGTCCCAGCGATAACTCAAAAACTAATTGAGATAATTTCACCAAATTTTCACAAATGATTTATTGTAGTAAGTGCTAGAACCCTTTTTAAATTGGTTATGATCGAGGCACTGGTTCGGGCACCTACCATACAACTTCCAAATTTATTTGGCTATAACTTAGAAACTGTAAAAGCTGTGGTATTGAAATATTAGTAGGGCCAATGTGTTTCATAAAAAAATCGTTGATATTGACAACAAATTTTTACAGGTATCACAGAGTTGACACGGCCAACTCTATTTTTTCTCGTTTTTTTTTTAATTTTTTAATCGTTTTAAACAATGCCTCTTGGTTTGAATTCAATAGCAATGCTTTAACGTGATATTGACGTTAAGAGAAATAAGATATTTATGAAAATAAAATTAAGAATTTTTTTTTCGAATTTGAAATTTTTTTGATTATTTTATATTTGTGTGTGTATGTATAAGAAGAAAAACAAAATTATTGTGTATTTGTGCAGTTTATTAATTTGCTCTTTTTGTAGCAAGAAAGCTTCTATTTTTTTTCTATTAATAAAAATTATATTAAATGATGACCAAATTTATTTTGTTTTACTTGAATATGTATTACAGGAAATTGAGAAAAAATATAATTTTTTAGATGAATCTATGGGAAATAATTTTCAAATGCCACCAAAATGATTAAATAAAAATAATTCGTTGAAAATATTACGGGAAATATCTAAAAAAAATAAGATTTTTGAGTTGACGCATTCAGGAGGGCATTTTCGATAATTAAAATAAAATTCATGATTGATTCAAGAACTGTACAGAAAAGTTTTAATTTAAATTACACGATTTATTAACGATAAAGAATTAGATTTTATTCTATATATAGAAATATTTTATTCAATCTAAATCCCGCGAGCGTCTTAAAAATATGACGCCATGTAAGAAGATCTCACGCATTTCATTTGATTATTCAATTCTTTTTTTTTTCGCTCTCATTATTTTAACAAAATTTCAAATTCGAAAACAATGCTTGATAACAACCTGTATGTAACAGTATCGAGTGTATTCATAATATTTCAATTTAAACATGAATTCTTAAAGAGTTCAACACGAGTTTAGAATCACAGCTATTTCCCCCTTCCCCCCCACCCTGAGCCTTCTTCTTTCAGAAAAGGAAAAATTGAACAAAATTTAGTTAATCACATATGTTGTATAAATAGTTCAACAAGATAAGGCACAAGAGTGTTTAATAAGTAAATAAAAAAAATATTTGGTCATAATCATCTAAAAATTAAAATTAATTATATATTTACTTTATATTATTTAAATTTATATATATATATATACATATATGTACCACAAGAATTAATTCAATTTATTTACAAAATTTTAAGAATTAAGAAAAACACTTAAAAATAGGGTTACATGTACACTTTTTGATTAAAAATTTCTGTGTCTCACATACGTACATACATATACATATGTACATACACTATGTAAAATATGATAATTCCTAAAATTGATAACCTCTATGAACTTTGTTTTAAAGAACAAAAATAAAATCTATGAACTTTAAATATATTACTAGGCTGTGAATTTGATAAGTTTCGGCAACAAAATCTTAAAATTTTAAGAAATTTTTTTTTGTATGAAAAGAACTAAATTAACTTTAAAAAAAAAATATAACCAAACAAATATTTCTGATTTGTATTAGAATCAATTTTCAATTATTCTTTAAAATTTTTTTGAAACATCAATTTCCGAAAAAAAAAACCAAAAGTTTTACTAACCTGACCAAAATCAATTGTTAAATTAACTTCATTATATTTCATTCCTCTAGATAATGGTGGACTTTGCCACCATGTCTCTTTACCATCGATTGCATTCTCTGGTGGATGACTTAAATCTGGATTCGATAGATCACAATAATCACATATTTGACCATGAATAACAGAACCATGTTGAAATTCATTTTCTGTATTAGCACCAACTAATTTACAATATAATTCTGGTCCATCAGTACCAACACCACATGTAGCTGATGCATAAATTTTACGTCCAGTAGCCAAATTAAAATATGGTGGTGTTAATTCAGCATTTATATTAATTATACCAATTAAAATTATTAATAATCCAGTGGTAATAAAATTATCAAATATATTTATTCGATTCATTTTAATGGGATTGAATTGAAAAAATCCCATTTTAATTATGAACACAAGAGCAATTAAAAGGGAATTTTTTTTTAAATTTTCCCAATTTAAATTTTTTTTTTTTAATTATTTCAATTAATTATTTTCTTCTTTTCGCTTTTATTTATTACACACATTCATACAAGTATATTTTTTTAAATGATATTTTATCCCTTAAATCTTATTTATTTTTTTCTTTCTTTTCCATTTTACACTCTAACACATTGTATGTAGTATAAACTATACACTCTTTTCACTTTTTCTTCACAATAATTTCCCAATAATCCTCCTTTATTGTCCTGGTGTTTTAATATATTTTCCTGTTTCTTCTTTTTCCCGTTTTACCATCCAGACTGAACGGATTTTTGCTCGTGACTAAAATTTATTTTTAAAATTTCTTTACATGAAACCTCGGTTCTAAACAAGGGATCATATACAGCGGCATGATATTATCAGAATTTCCTACTTCCAGAGTAAATTTAATCAGTAGAACATAATAAGAAAAAAAAAACAATAAACATTAATAATGAAGATCAGTTTTAGTTCATTTGGATGAATGACTTTATGAAGAAATACAAAATATCGAAAATTTTTTTTTTTTTAAAAAAGAGAGAAAGTGCATTGAACTTTTATAAAATTTTTTCGTGCTTTTAGCATTTTTCTTATATACTTCTGTTTATATGGTATATAACATTATAAACGATTTGTAGTAAACGGTTGAACATGGGAGAAATATCATAATGATATTTGGGGCAGAAAAAATTATGCCCCTGAAAGTATGCAATAAAATTTTAATTATCTAGGAATTAAAGTTTACTAAATTATAAAATTGTAAATGGTCAGTCTAAATAAAAATAATTCAAAAATAAATTTAGTATAGCCAAAGATTTATTGAAAATCCGCGATTCGCAGTAGGACAAATTTTTAATAAAATTTTGTTCATACCATTCTGTTTAAACTTTTCTGTAAATGCTTCTACACACTGATTTTGTTATCATAAATAGCCTTATCTGAATATGAAATTGTTCAAATAATCTTCTTTTCAACATGTTTATATCCGCGCATACTTATGCCTTCTTATTTTATTCCCTAAACGCCTAAACTCATAAAAATCAGTTGATTCTTCTTGCTCTTTTTTAAAGTCAATAAAAAAAAATTATTTTTTTTTTTTGAAGATTTTTCTGTTTACTTTAGTTTAGATATTTTTTTTATTAGTGACACAAACACATATGAACATTTTTAAGATATTTTTTATTGCCTACACACATGAATTATGTTTAATCATAAATTATATTTACAAAGTCATTTACATATGTATGTATGAATAGTAGTACGTAATAACACTAAAAAGGAGCATAAAAGTCAATTTTGAAAATATTATTTTAGTACGTAATTGGAAATTTAGAAAATGGAATAGAAAGAGCAATACAATAAAATATTTATCATATACATACATACACACATAAAGATATGATTAAATTTTAAGAGAATTTCTTAATGAGAATAATATTAAATTTTGAGTGTATATGAAGAAAATACAATTTAAATATAAATACGAGAAAATATATTGTATAACAATAATACAATAAAAAATCAGTGTACCTATGTAGTACTAGAAACCGGCATGTTGTTTATAAACAGTCTTCTCCCAACAAATACTTCTCTTTTAGAGAATATACTTAAATTAATAGTATTCTCTGTTTATATTATTCTGATCTGATTAAATTGAATTAATATGATTCTCTCAAGAATTGAGAATCGTAAATGTACCGTATACGTTAGGAAAATTATGTGGTTGAGATTGTATTTCAATACAAAGAAATAAGTTAAGAAATTTTTGAAAATAAAACTGTACATTAACGTTTAACGCCATTTTCAAATGAGAAAGAATAAAATTTGTAAAGCGAAATTTAAAAAAACTGAGCTAAAAATTGTTAAATTCAACTAAATTTGATTGTTGACGGAAAAAAAAAATTAATCCAAAAATTTCGTGATTTATGACGTCCCCCATTAGTTTTATGCAAATTAAAAAAAAATTTGAAATAACAAAATTTTTTTAAACCTAAAACGAATACACAAAGTATTTGAACTCATATACCGTAAATTTAAAATTGTATACATACTAATATTAATGCTGTATGAATGAAGCATGTAGTAGATTGGCTCTTAGAGAAAATGAATTTAACATTCGACTGTTGAAAACAAATATTTATTTTAAGTTTTAAATATTTTAATTTCTTTCTCTCCATTACTTTCAAAAACAAATATTTTTCGCAAAAAACTTCGAAATTAGGGTGAATTTTTGAATTGAAGAAAAGTTTTTCGAGTTTATGCCAAAAATTTCAGTTTAAGACTCTGATCGTTAAGTATTAAACGCCATTTTGTAAATATCAAATTTTAAGTTTTTGCCAAAACACTTTTACTGTTTACAAGCTATTAATTAACACTTTTACTGTTTACAAACTAAGTTTTTAGTTTTAAATTTTTAATTTATAAAATTGAATCGAATTACGATCGTAAATATTAAGAACGAATGCAATGCAACTATAATGACAAAACGATGTTTTACCGTAAGAATTTCCACTAAGTCGTTATTGACACGAATCAAAAATGAATTCAATGGTTCGTGTCCATGAGCATGATTTTAATTTTTTTTACGATAATACCACACGTCAACCGATTTTTCGAACTTTTTGTATATACTCGTATGTAATAATTTCATTATTAAATTTGCACAAGTTTATTTATTAAAATTATATACGTACATACATGTATTGGGAATTGATGTGTATATAGGAATACAAGCAACAATTTTATAATAGATTTTATACCGTATATTCACTCTTACGAATTTGCTTATGTAAACATGACAAAATATTTTACGGCGAAAATTTTATGCATGCACGAAAATGTCAAAAAATCAGCTGTTAACTTAGACTCACGGTTATGTATCTATATTTACTGGAAAACTAAATAAAATTTTTTTTTCAAAACTAATAATTAATAATTTCTAATTGGTGATTAATGAAAATTTTCTTTTTAAATACACAATGTACAGCTATCGCATAAATAATCTCTGCCGAAATTTTATTCGAGTTACTGTGAAACTACAACCAAAACAAAATGCAATTTTACCATCAAGATATTATGCTGCAAGTGGTATGTTGTCCTATTTCTACTTTTTTTTTTTAAATTATAAAATAAATGTTTAATTTTTTTTAGATAAAAAATCTGAACCCAGTACATTCAAATTAGCTATGATGGGAACTGCAATTGGTGCAGCTGTTGGAACTGCATACTCTACTTACAGTCAATGGCATGAAAAAACTGATCATATGATACATGAACGGAAACATCCAAAAGTTTTAAGTAGATTACCAAAAGTTAAAATTACAAAAAAAGTTGTTAACCCAAAAGATGATACAGATCTAGATTTAGTGCTATTTCAATTTCAAACTTGTCCATTTTGTTGCAAAGTTCGAGCATTCTTGGATTTCTTGGGCTTATCTTACTCTATTGTTGAAGTTGATGCAGGTACTGATATTTTATAATTTCTTTTTATTATAATTCAATTATGTTATTGTATTTAAATATACAAAATTTTATTTTAGTATTGCGTCAAGATCTAAAATGGTCAGAGTATAAAAAAGTTCCAATGCTATTAGCAAAACAACGAGATGGAAAATATGTTCAGTTAACTGATTCAAGTACTATTGTCTCAATTTTATCTAGCTATATGTTAGATAAAAATCAAGATATTGGTGAATTAGTAAAACTTTATCCAAACGTTTCATTTTTTGATGATAAAGGAAAGAAAGTTTATGATATTTTAAATAAATATTTTCTTATGTTTGGTGATAAAAATAAACCATCAACATCAAAAGAAGATCAACTTTCTGAAAGGCAATGGCGTAGTTGGGTCGATACTCATTTGGTACATTTAATTTCACCGAATGTCTATAGAAGTTGGAATGAATCACTAGAAACATTTGAATGGTTTTCTGATGCAGGAGAATGGAGTATTCATTTTCCAAAATGGGAACGTGATTTGATGGTATATGTTGGTGCAGTTGCCATGTGGATATTAAGTAAACGATTAAAAACACGTTATGGTCTTGATGATGATGTACGTAGCCATATATATGATGCTTTAGATAAATGGACCGATAGTTTAGAAAAGAAAAAAACAAAATTTATGGGTGGAAAACAACCAAATTTAGCTGATTTAGCAGTATTTGGTGTTTTAAGTAGCATGGAGGGTTGTCAAGCTTTCAAAGATTGTTTACAAAATACAAAAATTCGTAAGTTTTATAATTATACCATCATTTTGTATATAAAGAATTTTTAATAATATAGATTTTTTTTTTTATTTTAAGGTGAATGGTTTTACGCGGTAAAAGATATTGTCAATAAAAACAAAGGTACAATAATAAGGGAGACAGTGATAGGTGACCAAAATAAGATTTCACTGTAGGTCTATTACTATATTAAATATGTCGGATTTGTTTAGTGAGCAGAGATTTTTCAATCTATAATAGGTTTTTTTTTTCTTATTATTATTTATAAATTGTTTTAAGAAATCTACATTTTACTTAAATAATTATTTAAAAAGTAAATTAAAAACAAAAACCACAATTTCTAAATAAAAATTGAATTTATAACAAAATTTCATCTTTTAATTTTTTGGAATTTCTTTCATTCTCCTAAATAATTAATGTGTGAGAATAATTAATGATTTGTGAGAGCTTGCATTGTTATGATGAAGAATGATTCGCCGGCGCTTGTTTGTTTTCCTTATTTCTTCTTGGCCGACCTTCACGAAATTCATCCTGGAGCGAACGGCGTCCGAAACCAAACTCTTGGTACCAGCGATCTACAGTGGTTTTTGATGGTGCTTCATCACCAAAAGTCGAAACAAGGTGATCGAGACACTCTTCTCTCGATAATCCGCGCCGAAAATCGTAAAAAATCATCGCACGAAAATTTTCACGGGACAATTCCATTTTTTGACCGAGATGAATTTTTCAAGTCACTGTAAACAAAACAATTCGCGCTCGAATGACAAAACTTTCTGAGTGAAGTTGTCCTAAAAAATGTCAAACTTTCCAATGGAAGTGTCAGATTGCACCTGGCAGCACTTGTATTGCCAGGACCCGAAATATAAATAGTGACCCTCGTATCAAGAAAAATTTAGAGAAATAACAAACTTAATTTTTTTTTTGGTTTAATCTAGTTGATTTATAAGTTTTACGTCATAAGTTTTAACGCTTTCCAAGTTTCCAAATAATGATAAAATGTAAATATGTATATGATGTTAATATGTATGTGCTTATACATTCATATTATGTTTTAAAAGCTGTTATAATATAAGGCTATTAATCATTTAATATGGTGATAATTTTTACCTTGTTTAGAATAGTGTTACTTTTATTTCTTTTCTGTGCCTTTTACATTCAAGCGTTTATCTTATTAATTTTTGAACAAACATACAAATTTCTGTTGTTGGTTTATTTTTCTTTTTCATTGAGCAAAAAATAAAATAATGATTCAATATTTTTTATCAGTAATACAAAAACTGATTTACTTTTCCACATTTCGTATTAACGTAAAAAAAATATCGCTGAAAAACAGAAAAAAAAAACTATGTACATATTCAACTAGCCATAATTTTGTTACCATAATTGGTTACATACTCTTTTAAATTATAAATCCAAATATAGAAGCTCAAGGTTCAAACAGACAAATGCAATCTTTGCTCTTTTTACAAAAATAATTTTTTTTTGCATTATAAAAATATATAGCAAAAATAAATTGTTGTTGATGATTTTATTACAAAAATTGTTTGCTCAAATTTAGATTTATGACATGAAGCAAAAAAGCTTCTTTGTTTTTTTTTTATAATTTCTAATTACAAAATTTATGCAATAAAGAATTCAATTAAAATGTCCATCAACAATTTCTGATTTTTTATAAAAACAAAATGTTCGTATGATTAAAAAAATTTTGGCTTTTATTCCAATTTGAAAAAAAAAAAAACTACATATAAATTTATGTATAAATTTTATATTATGTTAGGGAACAGTATATATCTTCTATGATTGTTTAATATAAAAAAATAAGTACTGAATATAAATCATTCAAAATTATTTGTTAGTTTAACGAATTCTTAAATGCAAAAATTTAATATAAAATAAAACAAAACACGAAATACTTAATACTTTAAATGGAAAAAAACCTCTTCAAATTAATATTAAAATTTTAAAAATTCAGTTTAACTTCTAGTGCATTATGTAAATTTTGTTTATCTTTTTAAAAATTTTTTAATAAAAACCTTTTTTTTTCTAATTTCAATTCATAGCATTGGAATGAAAACATATTTTAATTCTAAATAAAATTTATGTTAAATATTTGTTTTTCAATCTTCTTAATTAAGAGATTCCATAATATTTCGTGTTAAAATTCTACTAGGAATTCTGAAAGGAAGTATAAATTCGTAAAAACGGCAAAAAAGAAAAAAAAATTTAATCAAAAAACAATACATAATATGTATACTCTATTGTTCATCTTTATCTTTAGCTCCATGTTTTAAAATTCTCGTAAATTCAATGTAATCGAATAAACCATTTTTAATTGGTGCTTCTCTGTACATTTCATCTACATCCTCATCAGAAAATCGATCACCCATAGTTGTAAGTAGTTCTCTTAAACGATCCTCTGGTAATACTCCTGTATTATCTTCATCAAAACAACCAAAAGCATTCTTAATAACATCTTCGGGATCAGTTCCTTGTAAACGTTCACCAAATAATGTTAAAAACATTGTAAAATTAATTGGGCCAGGTGCTTCATTCATCATTGCTTCTAAATATTCATCAGTTGGATTTTTACCTAATGATGCCAACATATCATGTAAATCTTCTTTTTCAACAAATCCATCACGATTTTGATCAATCATATTAAAAGCTTCTTTGAACTCAGCAATTTGGGCTTGGTCAAACATTGCAAAAACATTTGATGTGGCCCTTTGTGCTCGTTTTTTTGTTGTTGCACGACGTCCAGCAGTTTTACGGGAAGACATTTTTATTTATATTTTTTATTTAATAAAAAAAATTAACTTTAAATTTATATTTATTGAATACTGTACACAAGTACAATGACTTTATTTCTATATTAAAATTATAAATTTTTTTTTTTTTTTTGTTTAATTAAAGAACAATGTTATGAGTCAGCTAATTAAATACTATTCTCTTTCTTGCAAATGAAATATTGAAATGCACTGATCTCAGTCCTTTTAAAAAATTTAATCAAATTGGAAATGTCACAAATTAGTAAAAAAAATGAAATACAAATGGAAATTTTTTCCACCTAATTTCCACCCAACAAACCAAATGTCAATGAATATAAAGAAGGTTAGCGATAAAATAAATAATCGATTCTTTAATTTGAATAAAAAATATTCTTATGGTGATTCAGGGCTCAGATAGACATTTTTAGTTTTGCAACTGTTTTGAGAGCTTATTTGTATTCCATAGGTTTATATATAAGAGTGAACATGTTCAACTGTGTGATCGTATGTAATTAAATAATCAAACAGTTTTTAACTTTTTACAAACTAATTGCAATTTTTAGTTATCGCAATCGATTTGAATTCGCACAATAGCTCAATCGCTTAGGTGTGCGTGAAACGTTTTTATAATGAAACTGTGCAAAACTAAAAATTGCATGTCTGTCAGTTTATTTAAAAAAATCTGACACAATCATGTGCACAACTAACATAAACATTTAACAGAGCCGGAACCATTTGTTTTCAAAATTAAAAATTCAAAACAATATTTATAATATAAATTTGATTGAATACTTATAATGAGTACAAATTACCCAATTAACAAATTTACCAACCGAAAACTGCAATCTAGTCAAAGTATATAAATGTCAATTGATATTATTATGATGACTGAATGTTACTGTCAATGTCAAATTAAGCGACATAAATTTGATTATCATCCAACAAGCAGTTTTTTCATTGGTTAGTTGTGTGAAGAAAAATATAAAACTTTTAAAAATGCATAAAATAGAACAATTTCCTGAATACCAAGTACCAGGAGCAAATCAACATTACTTTTATCCATATGAATCGAATGGAGGGTAAAATTTCCATCAAGAGAACTCTTCATAAAATAAAACAATTTTATATTCAATATTTTAGGAGTGTTGTCGCCATTGCCGGAGATGATTATGCTGCTGTTGCAGCAGATACAAGATTAACTAGTGGATATTCTATTCATACTAGAAATCAAAATAAACTTTTTAAATTGACCGATAAAACAGTGTTGGCATCTTGTGGTTGCTGGTGTGATACGCTATCATTAACAGCTTTTGTGAAAAAAAGGATTCAAATGTATCACCATGAGCATAATAAAATAATGACGTCGAATGCTATAGCTCAAATGTTGTCTTGCATTATGTACCATAATAGATTTTATCCTTATTATGTGTCAAATATTTTAGCTGGCTTAGATGAAAATGGTAAAGGTGTCGTTTATAGTTATGATCCTGTTGGCCACTGTGAACTTTCCTATTATAAAGCTGGTGGTTCAGCCGGTGCACTTTTGCAACCAGTTTTAGATAACCAAATTGGTTACAAGAATCAAATTGGAATTGAAAAGGAACCAATAACAAAAGAAAAAGCTGTTGGCGTTATTTATGATACATTCATTTCAGCTACTGAGAGAGATATTTATACAGGTGATGCTGTCATCATAAATGTTATAACAAAAGATGGAGTTGAAGTAAAAGAATTTGATTTAAGAAAGGATTAAAAATGCATTGTGTAAAGCAAATTAATTTTTACATCCATATATAATATAAAATTTTTATTATATCAATAAAGAATTTTTAAAAATTTACTTCCACATATTTGTTAAACTTCCACCTATTTGTTCCCGTAAAAAAATACTGATGGTGTTTCTCTCGTCACAAAAACACCATTAAAATAAGATACAGATAGAAAAAAATTTCAAAAAGCTGAGTTTCTAAAGCGTTTTTTACAAGTTTTTTCTTTTGAAAAAACTTCATATTCTAATAAAACTGCTTATTCTAAAACTAAATATTTTTGGTTATCAATATAAAGTTTCTGATTTAATGAAGTTAAAATTATTCCTTATTTTCGAAAAACAAGGGCAAGTACCACGTCGAACATATTTCACCTCTAATTAATTCCATCTATTAGGAACTAACAAATATTGTCATGCGTTAATTTGCGTAAGAATAATGAGTTCTTAGCATTACTAAAACTAACATTTGATCTCTTAAATTTTTTTGAAAATATATCGAAAAAGTTAAACATGATTTTTTCGTGAACAGAGGGCTAGCTTCTTAGATCCAAAGTTAATGTTTACATAAAAATTTAAGCACCAATAATTATGAATGCTTTCTGTACTAGAATTTTTTTGGTTTTTTTTCAAATGTCACGAAATTATGAAGGTTTACTGAGTCTGTCAGATTTCTTTGTGAAATTGCTACTTTTTGAAAGTTTTCTATTAACATTTCTACAATTGTAAAAGATTTTGTTTTACTTATAATTTTTTTTTCGAATTTCGTAATTAAAAATTTCAAAAATATTTAAAATATTTTCGGAATTAATTTTATTATGAACTTTATTTTTGATTCAACGTCAATGTTATTTTGTTTTAAAAGTCAACGCGGTAGATCTTCATAGTTTTTAAAATCAGTGGACCTTTCTTAACTTTAGAAATAAAATTAAAACTTAGTAAGAGGATTTTTAATGATCCAAATATGCACTTAAAGTTCCAACGAAAATATTTTTTGCATCATCACAAATCTACAGGGACTAGATAATCTCTAGATTTTTTTATCACTTTTCTAGATTTTTAATATCTTAAATTTTTCAATTAGATTGTTCTAGTCAAAAGTTCTATTTGTGATATTTAGAACTTTAAGCATGTTACGATTTTCGAATGGGCTTCTTTTAATGCCTTCTTAAATTTTAAAAAATCCAAGTTACAATTGAATTTAGGAAAATCCTGCATGCTATCATTGTTTATTGGCCCTTCAGTTTTGTCAAATTTCTTATTTATGACTAAATTAAACCGATTTTTTAAATCTACTTATATTTTTCATCACTTTATTGAACAAAAAGAACATTGTAAACATTTATTTTTTTTTTCTTCTGTTAAATAGAAAACCGCAATGTAAAAAATTAAAAATAAAAATTAGATATTACATACTTTTTTTTACCATTTTCCTTTTTTTTTTAAATATTTTTCTTTAAACAGGTATTTTACAACACTACAAAATGCAATTCATTTCTATTACAAAAAAATAAAAGTGGAAAAGAAATTTTCTTTTTTTTTTGGAATTTAAATGAAAAATTTAAATTTTTAGAAATGTTCTTAATAGTGATGGGAACTATCGAATGAATAAAATTTTTTGCAATCACTAGTTCACATCACTAGTTCTCACTTTGTAATTTGTTCCTGTTGTATTCCTAGCTGTATTTTAGTCTTATTTCATTTCATTTTTTTAATTAATAATTAATTAATTAATAATTAATACAACTAGCATACATTAAATATGTTATAATTTTCGTTTTTTTTTTTAATTTTAATTTTATATAATATTTTTATATATAAGAAAAAGCTTATATATTTAAAAATAAATTTTTATTATTATTATATAATAAGGAAGTATAGAATTGAAAAAAAAAAAAACAAAGTATTAAATCCGAACCATTTATTTTTCTGATTTATTTTTTCCGTTGCTCTCCCAATTTATTAAATTGTAATTTTTTTTTTATATATTGGAAATATATTATAGTAGTTTTCAATTAAAAATAATTACATAATAGAAAAAATATACAAATTTTAGAAAACTTTTTATTTTGAAAATAAAAAATTAAATTTTACAATAAAATGAGAATGTAAAATTTTTCTCTCCAAATAATTATAATTAAGCAAAAAAACCGCTTTTATAGCTAAAAAAAAAAATTAAACAAGAAAAGCAAAAAAGGGGATTTTCGACAATTCAGACTTGCACTAAAAGTTCTAAAATTAAAACTTAAAAGTCTTGCCACGCATACTTACAAATCTGCAAAAACAGAAATAGAATATCTTGTTTTTGAATATTTGTAACATGCTCCAGTAATTCTTCAATATTCAACTTTCTTCTATTATAAAATATTATAATGCTAAAAAAAATTGAAAAATTTCTTTAGAACTATAAGCAAAACTATTTCCAACATGTTATTTTTGTAGCAGTAATTTATCGAGCCACTTTTGTATATTTTGCAGTTTGGTTTTATCAAGTTTTATATTAAGATCTAAGTTAGAGCTAAATTATCGAGTATCCCCAATCATAAGAGAACGTTTAAAAAAAAAATTTATATACCTATAAAAAATAAATTCAATGAAAAATTTTAAAATTATAAAAAGAATTAATTATAATGTTCGATAAAAATACTAAATTTCAAAAATTTGAATTACACTTAAATCAAAAAGTTTTTTTTCTCTTATATAAAAATTGATTGATTAAATCATAAAATTAACGAGTCTTATTTATAAATACAATTATACAGTTTATTAATTATGTTTTTTTAATAATATAAATTTTTTTTTTCTCTTTTTTACTTCAATTTTTTTTTTCCAATTTTTTTACATTTTTTAAGTTTTTTTTTTTTTTTGGTTTGTTTAAAACTTGATGATGGGAGAAAGTTTATTTTTCATAAAAATGTGCTTGTTTATTAATTTAAAGGAATCGCTATAAATTTTTTTAGTGTGATATTATTAAAAATATTAATCAAATATATTTTTTTTTATATATAAATTTAAATTTATATTATTTAATTTATATATTAATAAATAGTTTTCTTTTTTTTAACAATATCGATTTTGTTTGTTATCTATAATTTAAAACTTATATCACACTAAATTTATTATTACAATTCTTATTTAAAAATAACAAATATAATATATTTAAATTAGCTACACTTTATGACATTTTTTTTAAAATTCAATTTGTGTGAAAATATAGAATTATTTAAATTTTAAATATAAAATGAAAAAAAAAAACACGGAAAAGAATATTTAATCAAATAAAATTTTTCGAAAAAACTTTCTACACTTTTCTATATAGATTTTTTTTTTTATTTTCTTGTTATTTTAAAATCAATTTAAATACAGATAAATAAAAAAAAAACTCTTCTTTTACAATTCAATTATTTAAGCAGTATAATTAAATAAAATGTAGCTTTTAACATTATTGATAGCATAGTGTAAATATGTTTAAAATATTCAAATAATTAATTATTTAGATAGATATTTATATATATTTTTTTTTCATTGAAAAAAAAAAAGGTTTAGTTGAAAATATTATAAAAGTTAAATATAAATTGTGATTATTCATCTTTTATATTAAACTGAAATTATTATTTTTTCCCATTTTTTCATTAATATTATATATTTTATTTGTTTATAATAATTATTATATAATATGGTTTTGTTTTCTATTATCATTTACAAAATAAAAAAAAAAAAAAATGTTAAAGTTGTAGTGTACTGAATTTATAATTATAAATATATTTAAATTTTTTTATTATTTAATATATTTATTTTATATTTTTAAGTTTTTGCGTCCTCCCGAAATGTACACTACATTAAGAACTTATTTTTTAACAGGAGGCGCCACTGTCTGGCCGCGTTCCTTCCCTCGTAATCTTACTCCAATTACTCTTTCAATTTTACCCAATATCATATTGTTTGGTATTCCACGTCCAGCTTCATAATCAGTAACAACTTGAACTTTTTCGTTAATTTTCTATAAAAATAAAACAAAATTGAATTTATAGTATTTATTATGAAAAGAATTTATTTTTAAAATAAAACAGATTTTTTGTTGTTTTAACATTACATAAACCTAGTATAAAACCAAATATAAGACTTACAGTTGCGAGATCCTTTTGACTTAAATTCTTTGCCTGACGTCCTTGCTGAATTAAACGACCAACATCCAAAGGAATTTTTTCGTGTTTTAATTCTAAAAAGAAAAAAAATTAAAATATAAAAAGTATAGCTATGAATGTTTTTAAATTGGGGGTGAATTAAATGCGGAACGTTGTTATGCATTGCACCAAAAATTATAATTTAAACGTGTTTAAAAATTTCAATATTTAAAAATTTCTCTTAAATACCTAGTCCATTCATTTATTTATTTTAATAAAAAAGTTTAAAGCAATCACATATTCCATATCGGCTATAAAATTATAAACATTTGTAATTTCGGTTTAAAAGTGTAACACTAATATAGGTAGGTAATTAGGTAACCTATTTATTTATATAAAAACTATATTATATCCAATAGGTTATCTCGTTAACTAAAAAAGTTAATTACATAACATTGTGTAAATTTATAAACAAAATGATTTTATTAGCTATTGTAAAAATTCACATTTTTCATTCAAAATTTTCTACGATTAAACGAAAATCTTAATATTTTTATAATTTCGCTTATTCAGACTAGGTATCTACCAGAATTAAAACAAGTTTTGTTAAAGAAGTATAAAGTTAAAAAACAATTAGGTAGCTACCTATACAAAACATTAGATTTGATATCTTTAATATTGAATTTTAATATCAAATTCATAAAAATTTCATGTGCGGTAGATCTTATTTACCTACCTACCTACACCTTAATTTTTTTTTTGTTTAAATAAGTAACGCAAAATCAATAAAATTTTTGTATATTTATAAAGTTAAATTGATGAAGGAAGTGATGTAATAAATTCCGACTCGTAAATGATTCACAACACACGATTTTAAAAGAGTTAAAAACAAGTTCGGCTTTTTTAATGTTAAATAAAAAACAATGAATGATAGGTAAACAGATTTTTTTTTTGTTTGAAACTTTTCTAATTCTTAAATAGAAAGAAATGAAAAGAAATTACTTTTCTAGTTCTGTTTTATCATCTCCACTAATCTCAAGTCACCTTCTTTCTTTTTTTTTGGGAAAAATAATCACAAAAACATAAAACAACAATAATAATAATAAAAGCTTAAAGACGAACCTTCTGTTTCGCGATCCAACTTGGCAGTATTTTTTGTGGTTACGTGTTGTTTATTAGTGGCAGCACCATCTAAAATAATATTTATTATTTTTTTTTTAATCAATTTCGTAACATTTATCGATCGTTGCATCAATCTAATGAAATTTATCTTATTTCATTTTAAAATTTAGTCAAAAAAAATTTATTCACATTTTTACAATTATTTTTATTTAAATATAAAAATTAAGCATGGAAGTATTAAATTTCAAAATATAAATTAAGAACTCACATTTTTGTTGGGTTTCAATCGCAACTCCTTGTCGTCTTGCAGCATTTATTGCTGCTTCACTTTTCATTACAGATGCCTATTATTAGTTAAATTTTTAACATAATATAAATTTCCATTTATTTTTACTTTTTTTTTTTACCTTTGGTGGCCTTTTACGTAAAACTGTAACAGTATCCCAATCGGACATATTCTTTTTTTTTTTTCTTTTCTTTTTACACAGTAAAATTAATTAATTAAGGAAAATTCACTTTCTTTTTTTTTAATTTTAAAAAAATGAATATATATGCGTTTTTATATTCGTATCAATTCTGGAATAGTCGAAGAAAATGTGAACTTCTTCTTCTTCTTTCTCATATGTCAAGGATGACAGCTTCAAATGAATTTTTAATTTACCCATAAAACACTTGGGAAAAACTATTTGTTGTAAAATTTTTTTAGAACATTTTGGAAAATAAGTTTATGAAATCTTTGAAGTGTTAACAAAATAAATTTCTTTTTGATATAACAAAAGAAGAAATTAAAAAATTGTATTTTATTCAATATTTATAAAAAAATTAAACATAAATATATTTGCAATTAAATTTGAAAGACATTGCAAAAATTAATTTTTATTTTAACCAATAATTGGCTTGTCGGCATTTGGCATTGAAGACAATGAAAATTGCGAGGTTCTAAAAACTTTATATTCAATCTTTAAGGAGTTTTACAATTTTTACTATCAACATGGAACATAGTAGAAACAGCTGTTTTCATAAAACATCTTGATACACATTAAAATTACATTTTTAGAGTGAATCGAGTGGTTAACTTAAAGCTTCGATTCGTTTTCATGTTCTGCGAATCATTCTGAAATATTATTACTTGAAATCAACTTGACTTTAATATTAATAATGACAAGTTGAAAAAATAAAGTGGCGTTAAAAAAAATACCTAGGATTCAAAAAGAAGAAAACCGGATCACTCATTTCAATTTTCTAATCCCGATATATGTTGTTAATTTTTATAACGGATCCAATAATTTCACAGATCGATTTCATTTAAAAATTTTTTAAAGTCAAGAAGAGTATAACCTGAAACCCTCTTGATGTCATCTTTAAGTTTGTATTATGAATATGAATATAATATACAAATGATAAGGATGCAAACAGCAAATTGTAATATAAGTTTCGGTAATTTCTTTTAATCGTCAAAAAATTTTAGAAAGTAGGTAACACATAAATTTTTACTACAAATTTGTGAAATGTACTATATATATTGTTCTAAAATTTTTTGCTAAAAGTTTATTAATATAGTGTGGCAACTGCAATGTCAGTAACCCGTTAAAAAAACACATTGTTGCCAGTATTTTTAAAGTTGATAAACTTAAATGCTGACAAACATTTCTTTTTTATATTAAAACTAATTTTATTTGTATTATTCAATATTTCGATTTTTTCAAATTAATTTTAATTATCTTGTATAATCGAAATATTTTCTTTCTGTTTGATTGAAATCAACCAATTAAGGTACTTTGAATCATACAAAACAAACAATCTTTTGAAATAACAATTATAAAGTCTGATGTCATATATAAACTTAAATAGTAATTAAAGAACGTTCGAATTTTGAGAATATTTATGTTGTTAATACTCGCAAAAAAAATTCATAAAACATAAAAGAAATTTGAAGGAAATATGAAACAAATTGAAAAGTTTAATAGGTAAAATAAATTTTAGCACAAAATGAATTCCTTCTTTCAAAATAGTTTATGAAATACTAAATTAATAACTTTCAAAATTTTTTAACCAATATGTGGCAACACTTTGTATAAAAATTGTTAAAATTTTGTATTGAAAACTGAAAATTCACAAAATGTCAGAAAAATTCGATGGAGGAGGTTGCGTATTTTAGTTTTCGTTGCATAAAAAAATGAATAACTTATAAATAAATAGTGAAAAAATATAAAAATATGTTTAAAATACATAATTAATAAAAAATATATTTACTAAATTAATAATTCAATAAAAAAAAGCGTAAAATAAATGGTTTTTTATTTTTTTTTTAAATTTAATAAAGCCTCCAACATCGTTTTGGTCGTCGCGGACCAACCCGTCTCGGTTTATCGATGTGTGTAAAGAAGTCAAGAAGGGATAAAAAAAAGTTTTTTTTGTAGTGATTTTTTCATGTTTTCCCTTCACTTTCGTGTAAAAAAATATTAAAATCAATAAAAAATTAAATGAAATTTATGAAAAGAATTTTAAAAATGGTAATTTAATATAACAAATAACCTTAAATTAATAATATTCTGTAATAAAGAAATATTTTTATTATAAAAAAATAAGAATAAAAGAAAAAAAGGAATACAATATAAAAATCTACAACTCCAATCTAGGGGGTAAAAAATTTACATCCATTTTGTGTATGAAAAGTTTAAAAATATTTGATATAGGAAAAATGTTTGATTAAAAATGTTTTTTCTTTTTTTTTTTATATTTCTGAAGTGAAAATTTCTTATGTGCATTTTAATAAAATTAAAATGGAATAACATATTTAAAAAAAAAATAATACAAAAATTTATTAAAATAAATAAGTAAAAGAAAAATAAAAAAAATTAATTTAAAAAAAAATAAAAATTTAAATTCATTTTCTATATAAGGTCTTCTGTGTTTTCTGGCTAAAAAAAAATTTCATTCTCATATAATAAGTACATACATAAATTATCCATACGTACATATATACATATATATATGTATATATAATTTTTTCTTTTGATTTTTTTGTACTTTTATTGTCTGGTTTTTTTTTAATGCCACTTGACATCTCCACCCGTTGAAATTTCGCTAAAGAAAATAAGCATCCTTATAAGGAAATATATAAAAATATAATAAAAGAAAAGAAAAAGCGAAAAAAAAAATGGGTGCACAACAAGCAAAGGATCGTTCATCGTCTAGCAGTAATCAAAATACAACCACATCATGTATTGGATTAACCGGTGTTAGTAGTAGTAGTGGCGGTGGTAGTGGAGGTAGTGGAAGTGGTGGAAATAGTAGTAGTTTGGTATGTAATGCATTAGGAGCTGGTTCAACTTTACGTGCTAGTCGTATTAAATCTCGTGTACCAAAGGATACTCGTGTTGCAGGATCAAATATATTTACAGAGCATAGTGGTAAGTATAATATTATTGTTATTATTATTATATTTAAAATGTGAGTTTTAACAATAAGTATATGTATTTATAATAAAAAAGAAAGAAAAATTAGGAGAGGTACAATATGTGTAGGTACATATTGAAAAATGTTTGTCTTTTGTATTGTAACCGCTTTAAAATAAATAAAAGAAAATGTGACCAAGTATAGGTGTGGAGATAGGGAAGAAAGCGAAGGTAAATGATAACCTTCCCTAACTAAAAGAATTATAAAAACTAATAAAAGAATAAATAAAAATTTTTGTTGGGATGTAGGTAGGTACTATCTAGCTATAGTTGTACATATTACAATATGTAGGTATATTTTGTTGTTAATGCACAAATAAAAAGAAAACATGTATAAAATGAATTACATAAAGGAGCATGTCAGTTTTTATTAAGGATACCTATCTACCTCAATACCACACCATCTACTTGGGTATACTCATACAATACTAATTTAAAAATATTTTTTTAGTAAGTTATAATAATTAGAATTTATAAATTTGTATGTACTTACTTACCTAAATTATAATTAAACCAGTTGTTCTAAACCGGGGGTCGTATGAATTTTCCCCTTCTCAGGTGCTCCACAGGGGAAAAGTAAAATTTGGGGCAACGGAAAATTTTTAAGGGATTAAAAATACTATTTTTGTGAAACTTATTCAATGGAAAATAGTTTTTTAAAGGATATATTTAACTACTTTTAAAATTTTTAGATACGCAATGAGCATATTTATTTGGTCAGATGAAAATAATAAATTTTTTAGTTAGATATACCTTAGGTAGTACTTATAATTGTTAAAACTATTTGATAGATGGGATACCTATTTCAATTGATGTAAAAATTTAAAAAAAAATCTGTTTTTATTAAGTAAGTACACAAAATGATCTTAACAAGAAACCCAAATTCTCACATATTTTTAAAGTAATGTTACATTTTTGTTAAAAATGTTAAAATTTACTAAATTTTTTAACGATTGCATTGCATAGAATAAGTCAATTACCAGTTCAACTCTTTTGAATTAGAGCAGTGCGAAAAAACTATTTTTGTCTAACAGTATAAACCTTTAAACTTTTGAGGAAAAAATGATATTTACGAAAATTTATTTATTATTACTCATGCGTCTGAGGTCATTTCAGAGATTTGACAATTTTAATTTTCTGGAAACCAATACATGTCTCTCAGCTTCCCATTTTACAATTTGAATAAAAATAATTAAGGAAAGAAGTACTTACTTAATCCCCTAAACTATTAATTATTTAAAATCTAATATTTGACTTCTGTAAAGTTAAATAAAATTATTCTAATTGCAAGGCTAAAACTATTCTATCGGTTAAAATTACTAAGAAATAAATAAAAATTTGAATAAAGATTCAAGAATTTAAATAGTTTTGCAACTTTTACTTTTAAAAATTTTATTCAACTTCATTTTGCTTATAAATATTTCATCACGATTTTGTTGAAATTAATTGTTAAGTCATTTAATATAAAAAGAAAAAACAAAAAAAATCAAATAAATAATTAATATGTTTAATTTGTCACGTTTAATGTGAAAGTTTGTTTGGTTCAAGTGATTTTGATCGATTTAATTACTTAAATTTTGGTTTTATTCAAAATCTTGCGATATTCAATGTTACAAGAATAATAAATTTAAGTAAATGTGAACATACTTACTAATAACTCTAAAATGGGTAGGGCTAAGTTTATTCTTAGATAAGTAAGTAAGTAATCCGTAAGTAAATTGTACTTTTTTTTTTTTGATTTATTAGAAAATTTGTAAATAATAATTTACTAAAAGTTAATAAGAATGAGTACATTTAAAATTGTTTATTTCATAAATTGTAATTTAAAAAGTACTTGTTTAAGTACTACAATATAGTTACATTTTGTTCTTAATTAAATTTTCTGATGTATTGAAAGTTTTATGAAAAAGAATTAGATGCAATAAAATAATTTTCAACTTAAATAGATTTTTCTAAATTTCAATTTCAAAATACTTTTTGTTACTTAATTTTCAAATGATGTACTAAAAATAGTTTCTAAAAAGCCTAGCAAAGGAAATAGACATGCTACTTGATAGGAAGTCTTTATTCAAAAAATTTACAAATTTCTCTAAACAAACACCAATTTCCCCTATAGAAAATTCACCTAATTCGACAAAAATTTACGTTTTTCTTCTTTCAAATCTATTTCTATTCAATTACATATTTTAAATTAATTATTTTACTGGAACATCTCTTTAGTTGCATCAACCTTTTATGTCAATTTATTAATCCCATTAAATTATTTTTTTATTAACTTCAAAATATTAATACCATATCATTTAAAAACTCCATTTTGTATGAAAAATTAAATTTTCCTATTAAAAAAAATTTTCTTTTTCAATTAAAATAAATGTTAAAATTTATATGGCATGTCTTTAAAAATTCGCTCCAGCTGGATAATTTTTGTAACTTCAGATGCCAAATGTTGTCTAGATTTCGAAAATGATTTTTTCAAATTTTTAAATTGCACCCAATCTGAGAAAAATGCATTTAAAAATTTCAAACCATATAGGTACCATTTGGCAAATTGGCAAAAATAAAAAACCAATCAATTTTTTTTACCAAGAAAAGTTTCGAAAAAATTTTTTGATTACTAGATTTTTTTTTTGTTTTTCGTAATAGGTACAAAATTCTAGTTTTTTTTTTCAAAAATTTCAAATTTTTTAAAATCAATTTTTGTTTTTCAAATTAAAATTTTGTATAAAATTTCGTTTCAATTTTGTTATTATTTGTTACATTTCAATAAAAACATTAAAATTCTGATTTGTTATCAAAATAACGGCTCTTAAAAATGCCAACTGTTTTTTCGACTCTTGTCATCAAAAATTAATGATAGTTGATAATTAGGGCGCTTAAAATCAATAAAAATCAAAAGTAATGTAAAAAATAAGGCCTTTAAAACCTTCACTTAGAAATGGTTTTTGTGCTAAATTTTCTGTACCATAAAAATTTTTTTAATGATGTTTAATTTCTTACGAAATTATCTGGTTAGAAAAAACTGTTAGAAAAAAATAAATTAAGGGAAAAATTTGATTTTGCCTAAAGTGCGAATGCTTTGTATTTCAAAGCTGCGTAAAATACAGAATCAAGCAAAATGTTTATTTTAAGCCCTTTACTGGGTCTTTCAGAAACTCTTTGTTTGAAGTTCCAAAAAATTTCTTGAAAATTCGTTAAAATCCCGAGAAGTCGGAAACTCTTGAGATTTGGTCCCCATTCCGGGACAAATGTTTTATCCATTTTCGATCCTCTAACCAATGGTATAAGCTGTTATATACCTTTCTGAATCACCCTGTGTACACTTAATTATTTCTAAAACTTGCAAAAAATTTCATTTTAAAAAATGCAATCTTATCTAATGTAATTCGATCTTATCTTATTTTTTCCTAAATAATATTTAACAATAAAATTGTTATTTTTTATTAAAGCTTTTAAATAAGTAAATTTAATTTTTTGTTATTGGTTTTATGTTTAACAACAATTTTGAAATTTACTTACCTATCTTGTTATAACCAACCCGATTACAAATGTCTGTAAGTAAGTTGTTTTGAATATAAAATTAAAAATCAATTTTACTGATTGTTTGGAATCAATTACTTATAAAAGATTTAATAAAATAAAAAATAAAGAAATAAAAAATTGCAAAATCAAAGCAAAATCTTTTACTATTCTTAACTACTTATACAATAGCTCTACCCTTTATACTTAAATTCTCGTTCAACTTAAAAATAAAACTATTCACGCAATAAAAAGCAAAAATAAACAAAAAACAAAATCAAGAAACATTAATTAATTCTAATTTTATTTTTAAATTAAATTTTCATTTTTTGATTTGTAACATTAATTTACGCCTAAGGAATTCTTTTATTATTTTGCTTTATTATTTTGCTTGCTAAAAGCATTTTTACATATTTACTATAAAAATTCTGATTTTCATTCACTTAATTCTACTTATGCTCTTAGTTTTATTTTTTTAAAATAGCAATTTAATTTCTGACCATAAAATATTTTATAGTTTCAATTTTACATACAGACATACATAGAATATAGATGTGTGTAAAAATACGTCACACCCCCAGAACAGTGTTGCAATATATCAACAATTTGAATTTCGAAATTTTTTGATTATATTTTCTTAATATTATTTTTAAGTATTTACTGGGTTACTTAATTAAATACTTTGTTATCGTATTTTAACTACACATTGAGAAAATTGAGTTTTAGAAAATAATTTGAAAATAATTTGTTTTTTTTACATAAATTTTTACATAAATTTAAACGCCATTAACTACTCATTATTATTTTATTTGCAGTTAAGATTTTAGAATTTATTTTGCATTTTATTTTATTTATTTAAAGTTGTAATTTTTATAACAAATTTTAAAAAATGCAATATTCATTATAAAGAGAGTGACGGTTCGTATTATAAACACAAGTCAGGTGACAGTTCATATACTTTTATTAACATAAGAGAATTACTCTGTTGTTGCCGCGTATGATTAGAAAATACATATATTATATAAGTATACTTACGTTCACAATTTATGGACGCCCTTTATTTTTCGTCAAATTTGGCAGACAAATGTTGTACAATTTATTTGGCAAATCGCATGGACTTAGGTAAAATCTAAAAAAGTAGTTGAACACATTAATTAATAAATTTTACAAATAAATGTGAAGTCTTGCTGACAACTTTATTTTTATTATAAGTATTTAAAGTTATGTCAGTGCCATTTCAATTGACCAATTTAAACCTATGTTAAGTTTGTGTATTAAATTATAGCTAAATAGTTTAGGTTTAATAAGAAGTAAGTTTAAGTATATTTCGTAAAAATTAAACTAAATTAAAGTACTTAATTTATATTCACAATAAGAAAAAATTTGTTTAGGTGTATATTTTAACATACCAACTCACCAAATTATTCTTATATATTCTG